TAAGTCTCGATCTCCAATATAAATCATCGAAAAACTTTACCCTAGAGCATCCTTCTCTCTTCTGAATATTATGAACATTCCGGTAAATTAGTTTTTTATCGGAGACAATGTCAAGTTTAGCCACCACCAATTTATTTTTTGAGATTATTTTAAGATCTTTTATCAAAATTGAGTCACCACTAGGTCTTTTAATAGATGACAAAATGTCAGAAGCCAAGGACAAGATTTCAGACGAGTTTCCCTCTAAACCAGCAATAACAATATTATTTCTCTGACGTTCATTTATCGATGAATCTAAAAGATATAAGAAATAGGAGGTCGAAGCAGTAAATGAGGTATTTAAATTAGAAATTTCCTCCACCTTCTTCTCTACATTGAGAAGACGTTGTTCAAAATCTTTATGCAAATTTGCCAGCCATTCGAATTTAGTAGATAAATCTTCAAGTTTAGTCAAAATGGTATCAAATTTTTCCTCTAAAAAGGAAAATAAATTTTGGGGTACATTTGAAGAAGAACCCGAAGGAGGAAAAAACTTTTCCAATCGCTGAGATTTCAAAGTCGGTTCACTAGGAGATCTTTGACGTTTTCCAACAACTGATATGGACGACTTTGAAATAGGGGAGGAAGGTGGAGTACGAGACATCGGTCCAGGATTAGATTCAATACCTCCAATTACCAATAAAGCACGTAATAATAAATATATATCAAATTCTTTGATGAAACCAAGATAAAGAATCAAACACTTTGTAAAAGCAAACATATCCAAAGCACTATAATTCAACAAAAACAGCTCTCTCAAAAACTCACCAACACTGACGAACGTCAGAAGCGCCCCCCATAACGACGAAAATAGAAAAGGATAAAAATAAAATCGTCCAATTAATTTTTGAAAATTTTCAGCACCATATTCTTTAAATGAACTTTATTTATTTTTTATTTTTTTGAAAATGCAATGATGAAATTTTGGCCGAGAGGAGTAGTCGTGCTCCGATGTACTTGAAAAGACCAGTGTATATGCTACTTTTTCCGGTTATTTCATGAAGTTGTGGTAAGTCTCTGGCCAAAATTCGATCTGATGATGCAAAGACTGTCTTGTAGAAGGCACATCTTTTGCTTCCGATGTGATAATGTTGTGCACATGCTAACAAAGAATTGGCATGTTGTGTCGATAATATTCTGTATGTCTGCTGCTTTCAGATCAAAGGTTAAATCGTAGGGCACGTATAATATGTGTTGTGGGGTACAGTACGTGTGATAACATATTTCTCGAATATGCATAGAGTAGTTATGCTGAGGTTAATAAAAGATTGTTTGCGACGACACGTTTTCCTTTAAAGGAACATACTAAATTAGCAACAGAACATACTTTAATGCGATTATATTCCAATTATCGGTACTTTACTTTCAAGTATTCATAATTGTTATTCCTTAGTCTGTCTCATGGCTACTTCTGATGGCATGAATATACTTTGTGAAGTTGAACTACATGTAAATGCCGAATCCAGATTTGATATAAAAATCGTTCTGAGACACTTTGAATACGTTGCTGAAAGAAGAAGGAGGTAATAGCGGGATTATCATCAAAGACAAATATGGCGCTTTTATGGAGGATGTTAAACAGGCAAAAGCAAGGCCGAAAAAGAGAGTATCGACTAAGAAAATATGATGTTATTGAAGTTAACGGCAAAAAAAAATCTTATTATGCCACCAACCGGACACAATAGTGGTATTTTGTACTATGTGCATACAGAAGAATTATTTGACATATTGCACTATACTCACTTGAAAATTGAACTCGGAGGACAGACAGGGGTGGCAAAGAATCTACAAACTAAGTGCAAAGATGTCACCATAGAAGTATTACGTTGTATCTCCGCTTATGCAAGCTATCTCATACCAAACTGTTAAATCCCAACAAAGGTCCAATTTCTAAATCTTTGATATTTAAAAAAATTTAACTCGAATTACCAGGTAGATCTTATAGACATGCAAAGTAACCCTGATGGCAAGTACAACTTTATACTCAATCGGATCCATTTAACCAAGTTTATATTATTGTAACCTCTGAAAAGTTAGAGCATGAGAAGTTGCTTACCAGCTACTGATATCTTCACCACTACAGGTGTACCAAGTGTTCTTTAATCAGATAATGGGTCATTAAATTGTGACAAATGTACAATTTTTAAACGTAAATTTAATCAATTACAGCTGGTTAAATTTTATAAATACAAGTATATAAAATTTTTAAATATGTCTTTCTAATTTTCACAAAAAATTAAGTGTGGGAGAATAACATTTAAATTTTGTTTCATACCAATAATATATAGATAAATTTTTATCAAATAATTATTTGAATACATTAAATTCAATGTACACTTGTCGCAATTTTTTTACATTTAAGGTAAGTGTAACTGTAAATAGTTTATTGATAATTTAACGTTGATTTTATTAAAAAATACAAGACATTCGCAATATTCTGATCTTTATGGAAAATTAGCTAAACTGATTAGAGTTCCTTTCGTGTTCATTTCGAGAAATTTTGTCAGAAGAAAGTTCTTTACAGTAGTGACATTCGAATTTTTTTTCCATTACCATTTCTGAGAAGAGTTCAACTTGTGAGGATCTTTCCAATTGTCAAATTTCTAAATCGATGTTAAAGCGTTCAAGAAATTTTTCGGCTTCTCTTGATGTAAAAATAATTTCGCCCGAAGAAACTTCGTAGGCCTACACACTAAATTGATTCTGTTGCTTCAGCAATTGTCGAAGCTCTTTGATACGATTCAGCCTGCACTTGTTCAGCATATTGTATTCTTTCTTAAAAGTAAACAAATAATATGATTGTATTTAAGTAATTATAATATAAATTAAAATAATTAATTTTTATGATATTTGAGATTAAAATTTCTACAATATTTAAAATTTTCACGATTTTCCTGTACAGCTTAAAAAGTATTTACATCATTGAGAAATAATATTTTGTTATTATAATATTCGTGCGACGTTTAGTTGGAAGAAACGACATTATGCTTAATTAAATACTTGGCCGATTGATAGAAGTAACGAGATTCTTCGGATATTTATGAAATACATAAAATTTAGATATCTTCTATGCGAAGTTCGTGATTTTGAAATATAAAAAAAAGGTTAATAGTATAATTTCAATTTTTTCACATTTATAACGTTCACAACCAAATGGCGTGAAGCTGTGGCTTTTATATATGATGAAGATTGTCACTTTTTCTTATAATAATTTATAAAACTACAGAGATTTAACTTTATTTCTTTTATAAATTTGTTAAGTTTTTATGTTTCAGTAACCAAATTATGTGAGTTTCTATTAATTCAGTTATGAATACAGTAAGGCCCCACTTAATTAAGGGATATTTCGCACTATGACCGACTGGTCTGACCCGACCGATCCTGTGATCGGTATGACTAGTAATAAAAGCATTCACATTGAGCACGATTATATGTCGGTGGCCGATTCGCGAGGACCAACCGGAACGGGTGTTAGAAATCGTTTTAAGTTTTTCTAATTTTCAAAAATATTTTTGTAATCTACTTGGTTAAACTTTGTGGATATGATCTTACGTCGTTTATGAATTCTTTCGAAAAGTCTTAATAATAATATCTTTAAACGAGGTCATTTTAACATAAAGTAAATAGGGAAATGAGAACATGCGACCAAACATAACACATTATACTTTAATTTTAAGTCATTTTTATATTAACTTACATAATAATATATGTTAAATAAAACACAAACATATGCACACAGAAACNTTGTATTTATAATTTTTATTGAAAAATATAAATTACGCAATTTTTTTTTCAATAAGCTATTCCTTTTGAAATTTAATAGTACATAATTAAATCTCAACTGATATTTTGTATTTATATCGACATTACTTGTCTTTAAATGTCATTGTTAAAGAAAAATAATTGTAAATGGGCATTCGTGGTATCAATGTTTACATAAACGTCATTTGATAGGATAAAACGACGAAAAAAATTAGTAATAAAAAACTAAGGTTAGTTTATATGAAAAACACCTGCCAATGAAAGAATAAAAAATGGAGATTCCATAGTATGTATAATCAGTTTAATAAAAGCTCAGAAGTTTTAGTATTCAGATATATATCGATATTTTTAGTATCCGGTGTCGCGATTTATTCGGCGGCAGATATATCGGGCTCTCTTTATCTCTCGAGAAGCGAGATATAACGATGGGCTACTGAAATAATATAAATATATGTATTAAATTATAGTTATATAATTTCAGCTTTTCGATTAAAAATTTACTATCTGAGCAGCTAGTTGAACACAACAAGTAAAAACAAAATACTTATTTGTAGCATTTTACCAGATAAACAGGCTGTTTGTAAAGTGTTTCAAGTTTTTCTCTGCTTTCAATGATTTTATAAACATCAGTATATTTTACTATCTTTATCAGGAAGTAATGTCCGTGGTAAATTATTTACTAGGCATGTTGTGTCAAAATAAGCCTAACGTTAATCGTTTAAAAATGGCCTATATTAAAATGTTACTCGTGCCTTAACCCTGATATTTCAAATCATTGTTAATTTAAAAACATGAAATATAATTTTATCCACATAATCACTTATTAGAAGTACTTAGATGTTATTTTCTATTGTATATTTATCTAACAAAATATAATTTCTTACAGAAATTGGCAGAAAAAACTCGAAAAAGCGGCTAATATCTAATTTTTTTATCGACGAAAATCAATCAATCAATCAACATTTATTTGCTACGGCATTCGCCTTTACAAAGGGGGTTACAAAATCGTGCAACATTAACAGATACAAACATAATTATACATAATTTCAAATACAAACATAATTATACATAATTTCAAAAATATTAAAACTTAATTAATAATGTGATGTTAACATGTTTAATAAATAACAGAAAAATTTATAAACTTTAAATAACATGTCAGAGCTTAAATTATCATCGTATAAACAAAACATATCAAAATTAGTCGTTAATAATGTATCCCTTAAATGTTCAGTAATTTCACAAGATACAAATAAATGGTTCTTAATATTTTCACAGAGTCGATTACATAAAGGGCAGTTAGAATGGGCGGAAATATTCATTCTACGCCTATTTAATATAATAGTATAGTCATTAAGTCGCAATTGAATTATCAAGGATTTAATATTATAACTTAAATTTGATAATAAATAATATCGAGGTGTCCATGGAGCTATTGAGGAAGTCTCAAAAAACCTACTCTTTTGTTCAATATATTGAATGTCTTGAGCCCAGTATTTATCTTTTAATGACTGAAATATTTCAGCCATAAAAAGGTTTTTATTTGAGACCTGAATATAATAGTCAGTAGAATAACCTAATTCAGACAATAAATTTTCAACTGAGGAGGACCAAGTTACAAACGAAGAATTTCCGACTATTAATTTCAATTTGTTATAAATCAACTTTCTAGGGTCGCAATCTGGTAACTCCAAAATTTTACTCCAGTATCTAAAAATACTCATTGTTAAACGTATAGCCATTGGTGGACGACCCAATTCAAATCTTAAGACAGGTCCAGGCACCGAACGATTAATATGAAATATCGATCTAATAAATCTCAATTGCGTCTTCTCCAATTTATCAACAAAAGATGGTCCCCAAATAGGGAACATATACCCCAAACTTGAACGTATCAAGGAGTCAAACAATCGATAATACGACTTAATAGAAGACTGCTTCATTCTGACCATAAGTTTTATTAAATTAGAAAGCTGTAGTTTATATTTCAAAAACAATTTATCTAAGTGAAAAGAAAAAGAACCCTGTGGAGTAAAATAAATACCCAGATACTTATAGGACGAAACTATCTCCAATTCAGAGTTAAATAAATAAAATTTATCAGCTTTCCCCAGTCTACCCCCTCTCCGAAAAACCATTACTTTAGATTTAGTCTCATTAATAAGTAATTTATTAGACTTACAGTAATCTTGTAAAATATCAAGTTTTTTCTGAAGACCAATAGGTGAATACGAAAATATTACAATATCGTCAGCAAACAAAAGACAGTTCAATTCTACCTCTGGTGATATGGATATACCCATTGTATTATGATTACAAAAAAATTCCGAGAGATCATTAACGAATAAATTAAACAAAATAGGACTAAGAGGTTCACCTTGTGGAAGCCCTTTATTAGCAGTTACCGCCTCCGAAAGACAATGATTAACTTCTATTTGATAAATGGTGTTCGAAAACAATTGTCTTATAAGATTAATAAAAGATGATGACATGCCTATTCGAGAAAGCTTCGACCATAAAATATCATGATCTATTGCATCAAACGCCTTTGACAAATCAATAAATCCAACATATAATTTCCTCCGCTTCTTAGTCAAATTTAATTGCAAAATTCCAAGAAATATAAACAAATTATAATCAACACCTCTATTCGCTACAAAAGCACCTTGACCAATAGAAATAGTGTGATACCGCTCAAGCCAAAGACGTAAACGATTAGCCAATAACGTAGAAAAAATTTTTCTAATTACACTAATTAGCGATATCGGACGATAATTCATAGGATCAAACCGATTACCCTTCTTATATATCATTTTTAAACAAATATTTTTCCAAGTAATGGGAAAAGAATAATTAGTTTTAAAATTATTAAACATAGATAACAAATCGTTTAGAATATTAGTCGGGAGGAATTTAACCATCTCAGCCTTAACAGCATCTAGTCCAGGGGCTTTATTATTTTTTAAAGATCGTACCACAAATTGTAATTCATCAAATGTAAAATTTCCATCGAGCAATGGATCCATATTAACATTAGTACAAATAGACAGTACAACTAAAGATGGTCCAGAAAAAAATTTTCTCAAGTAATCCGACCAATCACGAATAGAGATGTTATTATACACAGCTTTACCATGTCTAAATTTATTAACAATTTTCCAAAATTCTGCAGAGTTTTTAATATGTGATAATTGGAAGTTAATCTTATTCCAAAATAGTTTCTTTTTGGCTTTACATATAGATTTAAAAGTTTTTTCCAAGTTAGAATAAATAATAAAGTGTTGTTCAGTTCTTGATCGCCTAAATGCTCGTAAAGCACGATTCTTCTCTCTCTTCAATCGTAGGCAATCAATGTCAAACCAAGACTTAACAAATTTTCTTGAACAATGATGTTTAACATACATATTACTTTGAGTTACAGACTCAAGAATCACGTCAACAAAGGACGAATAAAAAGAAAAGGAATCCAGAAAAAATCCACCCTTAATATCTGCATATCGCTTAGTGACATTGTACAAATACTTATCCAAACATGAAGATCTCCACACGTAACAACGTATCTCAGCAGGCAATTCTTTACTAAGAAAAAGAGAGTCAAACCTGAGCTCAACAGAAATAGGGAGATGGTCAGAATCAAATTTATTTAAAACTCTAAAGTCCACTAAGTTATCAACTAGTTCAGGATTAATAGCTATCAAGTCGATAACTGATGCACCCAAAGAGGAAATAAATGTAAAATTAGCAGGAGAATCAGTAACAAAACGACCATTCAATAGAATCATTCCATAAGATTTGACCAAGTTCAAAAATCTTTTTCCTCTACAGTTAAAAATTTTATCGTTAGATTTTCTAATATTATGAAAATTTCTATTAGAACCTATATACAATGTATCTATTTCGGAAGCAATTCTAGCGTTAGAATCACCAAGGATCAGAATGTCATCATCATCTTTAAAATCCAGAATCAATCTATCAAGATACTCGATCAATGAATCATATTTATGAATAGACATATAAACCAGAACAATTAAAAGCCCAGGACGATTTTTAAACATAGGTTTATCAAATATGAGTTTAGCCACAATAAAGTTATCAGAAAGATGACAAATTTCCAACTTACCAAGTTTCCGAGAAACCATTAGAAACAAGCCTCCAGACGGTCTTCCAGGTCCCTCTAGTTTATGAGCTAACATTTCAGTAAAATAGAATTGAGAGTCCAATGATGAAAGAAAAGATTTCACCGAAAATGTCATCCATGATTCAGTTATACCAACAATATGATATGATGATACAAAATCAACAAAACTCTTGTCAGAAAAGTTATCAAACAATGAACCTTGACTATTCCATGATAATACCTTTAGCGTATAAAAAACCTCTGAATGAGGAGTAACAGTTGAAATTTTTAATTCTCGTCCATTCGTCGATCCAACGTCTTCCCTGGTAATAAAAAAGGTTCAATTTTCATTAGCTTATTGCTTATTAAATCAAACGTAAAGTTTTCTCCGTTTACTGTTAGACAATCAGCTCTCATATACGCATCTTTTCCAGTCTTCTTAGCCTCTTGATAGAAAGGAAAAAGACCTTTCCTCCTAAGTCTCGATCTCCAATATAAATCATCGAAAAACTTTACCCTAGAGCATCCTTCTCTCTTCTGAATATTATGAACATTCCGGTAAATTAGTTTTTTATCGGAGACAATGTCAAGTTTAGCCACCACCAATTTATTTTTTGAGATTATTTTAAGATCTTTTATCAAAATTGAGTCACCACTAGGTCTTTTAATAGATGACAAAATGTCAGAAGCCAAGGACAAGATTTCAGACGAGTTTCCCTCTAAACCAGCAATAACAATATTATTTCTCTGACGTTCATTTATCGATGAATCTAAAAGATATAAGAAATAGGAGGTCGAAGCAGTAAATGAGGTATTTAAATTAGAAATTTCCTCCACCTTCTTCTCTACATTGAGAAGACGTTGTTCAAAATCTTTATGCAAATTTGCCAGCCATTCGAATTTAGTAGATAAATCTTCAAGTTTAGTCAAAATGGTATCAAATTTTTCCTCTAAAAAGGAAAATAAATTTTGGGGTACATTTGAAGAAGAACCCGAAGGAGGAAAAAACTTTTCCAATCGCTGAGATTTCAAAGTCGGTTCACTAGGAGATCTTTGACGTTTTCCAACAACTGATATGGACGACTTTGAAATAGGGGAGGAAGGTGGAGTACGAGACATCGGTCCAGGATTAGATTCAATACCTCCAATTACCAATAAAGCACGTAATAATAAATATATATCAAATTCTTTGATGAAACCAAGATAAAGAATCAAACACTTTGTAAAAGCAAACATATCCAAAGCACTATAATTCAACAAAAACAGCTCTCTCAAAAACTCACCAACACTGACGAACGTCAGAAGCGCCCCCCATAACGACGAAAATAGAAAAGGATAAAAATAAAATCGTCCAATTAATTTTTGAAAATTTTCAGCACCATATTCTTTAAATGAACTTTATTTATTTTTTATTTTTTTGAAAATGCAATGATGAAATTTTGGCCGAGAGGAGTAGTCGTGCTCCGATGTACTTGAAAAGACCAGTGTATATGCTACTTTTTCCGGTTATTTCATGAAGTTGTGGTAAGTCTCTGGCCAAAATTCGATCTGATGATGCAAAGACTGTCTTGTAGAAGGCACATCTTTTGCTTCCGATGTGATAATGTTGTGCACATGCTAACAAAGAATTGGCATGTTGTGTCGATAATATTCTGTATGTCTGCTGCTTTCAGATCAAAGGTTAAATCGTAGGGCACGTATAATATGTGTTGTGGGGTACAGTACGTGTGATAACATATTTCTCGAATATGCATAGAGTAGTTATGCTGAGGTTAATAAAAGATTGTTTGCGACGACACGTTTTCCTTTAAAGGAACATACTAAATTAGCAACAGAACATACTTTAATGCGATTATATTCCAATTATCGGTACTTTACTTTCAAGTATTCATAATTGTTATTCCTTAGTCTGTCTCATGGCTACTTCTGATGGCATGAATATACTTTGTGAAGTTGAACTACATGTAAATGCCGAATCCAGATTTGATATAAAAATCGTTCTGAGACACTTTGAATACGTTGCTGAAAGAAGAAGGAGGTAATAGCGGGATTATCATCAAAGACAAATATGGCGCTTTTATGGAGGATGTTAAACAGGCAAAAGCAAGGCCGAAAAAGAGAGTATCGACTAAGAAAATATGATGTTATTGAAGTTAACGGCAAAAAAAAATCTTATTATGCCACCAACCGGACACAATAGTGGTATTTTGTACTATGTGCATACAGAAGAATTATTTGACATATTGCACTATACTCACTTGAAAATTGAACTCGGAGGACAGACAGGGGTGGCAAAGAATCTACAAACTAAGTGCAAAGATGTCACCATAGAAGTATTACGTTGTATCTCCGCTTATGCAAGCTATCTCATACCAAACTGTTAAATCCCAACAAAGGTCCAATTTCTAAATCTTTGATATTTAAAAAAATTTAACTCGAATTACCAGGTAGATCTTATAGACATGCAAAGTAACCCTGATGGCAAGTACAACTTTATACTCAATCGGATCCATTTAACCAAGTTTATATTATTGTAACCTCTGAAAAGTTAGAGCATGAGAAGTTGCTTACCAGCTACTGATATCTTCACCACTACAGGTGTACCAAGTGTTCTTTAATCAGATAATGGGTCATTAAATTGTGACAAATGTACAATTTTTAAACGTAAATTTAATCAATTACAGCTGGTTAAATTTTATAAATACAAGTATATAAAATTTTTAAATATGTCTTTCTAATTTTCACAAAAAATTAAGTGTGGGAGAATAACATTTAAATTTTGTTTCATACCAATAATATATAGATAAATTTTTATCAAATAATTATTTGAATACATTAAATTCAATGTACACTTGTCGCAATTTTTTTACATTTAAGGTAAGTGTAACTGTAAATAGTTTATTGATAATTTAACGTTGATTTTATTAAAAAATACAAGACATTCGCAATATTCTGATCTTTATGGAAAATTAGCTAAACTGATTAGAGTTCCTTTCGTGTTCATTTCGAGAAATTTTGTCAGAAGAAAGTTCTTTACAGTAGTGACATTCGAATTTTTTTTCCATTACCATTTCTGAGAAGAGTTCAACTTGTGAGGATCTTTCCAATTGTCAAATTTCTAAATCGATGTTAAAGCGTTCAAGAAATTTTTCGGCTTCTCTTGATGTAAAAATAATTTCGCCCGAAGAAACTTCGTAGGCCTACACACTAAATTGATTCTGTTGCTTCAGCAATTGTCGAAGCTCTTTGATACGATTCAGCCTGCACTTGTTCAGCATATTGTATTCTTTCTTAAAAGTAAACAAATAATATGATTGTATTTAAGTAATTATAATATAAATTAAAATAATTAATTTTTATGATATTTGAGATTAAAATTTCTACAATATTTAAAATTTTCACGATTTTCCTGTACAGCTTAAAAAGTATTTACATCATTGAGAAATAATATTTTGTTATTATAATATTCGTGCGACGTTTAGTTGGAAGAAACGACATTATGCTTAATTAAATACTTGGCCGATTGATAGAAGTAACGAGATTCTTCGGATATTTATGAAATACATAAAATTTAGATATCTTCTATGCGAAGTTCGTGATTTTGAAATATAAAAAAAAGGTTAATAGTATAATTTCAATTTTTTCACATTTATAACGTTCACAACCAAATGGCGTGAAGCTGTGGCTTTTATATATGATGAAGATTGTCACTTTTTCTTATAATAATTTATAAAACTACAGAGATTTAACTTTATTTCTTTTATAAATTTGTTAAGTTTTTATGTTTCAGTAACCAAATTATGTGAGTTTCTATTAATTCAGTTATGAATACAGTAAGGCCCCACTTAATTAAGGGATATTTCGCACTATGACCGACTGGTCTGACCCGACCGATCCTGTGATCGGTATGACTAGTAATAAAAGCATTCACATTGAGCACGATTATATGTCGGTGGCCGATTCGCGAGGACCAACCGGAACGGGTGTTAGAAATCGTTTTAAGTTTTTCTAATTTTCAAAAATATTTTTGTAATCTACTTGGTTAAACTTTGTGGATATGATCTTACGTCGTTTATGAATTCTTTCGAAAAGTCTTAATAATAATATCTTTAAACGAGGTCATTTTAACATAAAGTAAATAAGGAAATGAGAACATGCGACCAAACATAACACATTATACTTTAATTTTAAGTCATTTTTATATTAACTTACATAATAATATATGTTAAATAAAACATAAACATATGCACACAGAAACGTAATATTCATTTTTTGTGAAGAAGTTCTTGTCTCTTCTGAAATTGTTGTTTTTAGCGATAAATTCGTGCAGTTTCATTTGTCACTTTCTTTTTCTTTCCTTAAACAAATGTCGGTAGTAACAGATCGCAATCAAAATGCATCGTTTCGCTTTTGCACTCCTTTCAAAATCTGGATCATTAGTTACAATGTGATCAACTATTTCGGTTATCGTTATCATACTTTTACTAAGGAAATCTGTAGAGAAATTCTTTGAATTCTTCGTTTTTAAAATTTCTCCTTTCCAGTTCTACATGAATTTCTTGTTCTGCCAGTTCTTGGAGGTCGTTGTTGCCGTTGGTAAGGCTCTCTTTCAGCAGAAACCTGCTGTAACTCTTCAATATCCTGCTCGTCTACATCTAGTCCTGATGTATCGATTAGGTTGACAATTTTGTCAACGATAGGCTTTTCTCATTGAGAATTCTTAGATACCTTTAGCCATAATTTCTTCCACACTTCATTTATGCATTTTTCAGTTAATTCATGCCAAGCGAAGTCAATGTTGCCTATGGCATCCATGATGTTATATATATATTTAAATTGCACCAAACAAACATAGATTTAAGGAAAGTACAACGCGACAAAGGTTTTTTTTTTTTTGGCGCCAAATAGGATGTGCCATTCCATCTATGAAATCTTAATAATTTGTCAAGGGAGCACATTTTTCTGTCATTATTCGTACTTGGCTAAATAATTTTAATTTTTCTCTAGTTACTTTTATTTCGTTGATAATCAGTAACAATTTGGAATGGCTATTGTAAATGATATTTAGTATTTTATGTACAAATCGTGAACGTTCACTTTTTGTTCTCCCCATGAAAACAGAAATACCTTCAAATCTATTACGATAAACTAATCTTCGCAAAATAATACATAGTGCATCAATTCTAAGTGAGCGTGATCCATTTTTCACAAATACTTAGAGATAAAAAGCGTAAAGTAAAATGATTTATTTCATCTTCAAACTCAACTAATAAAGGAATTTGATGGAAAATTTGCCATGTGTCTTTGGAATAAAACACAATACTAGTGTTTACTACGCCACAAATATTATTCCTTTTTATTTTTTTAGTTTAATTTAATAGCTTACCGAAAATTAAACAAGTGTTCAGTACTTGTCATTTTATTTCAATTTATTTTTCCTATTTTCACAGATATAGCTTTAGTGATAAGATATAATAAAATTGCGTCTACACTTTCATACTGATTCAAAAAGACTAACTCCTCATCAGTAGACTACAAATAAAATTTTAATTAAACGGCTACTGAGCGAAAGAAAATGAACACAGCCTTAGAAATTATGTGGTCACTTCACATCACTTTAAAAAATATTGAATATTTAAATATTTTCTGAATTAAAATAATCTATTTCTTACAATTTTATATTCATAAATGCTTAAATAATTATTATTTTAATAAAATACGTCGTAATTTTAACCCCAAACACAAAAGATGAAAAACTTTAAGCTAAAGGTCTATTCACCATGTTCGATATTTAAAACGCCATTGTCAAACTTCTAGACTTACAACATGGAGGCGCTCGACAACCGACATTCACGTTTTAGAGATGGAACCGTAGGCCGTAATTTTTCTATTATACAATAGTGCATGTAAGAAGTTGGTTCAATCGATTAATTTAAAACTGTAGTAATTATTCGTTTACATACAAAAGGAATTATTTGGAAGAATTATTAAAACAAAAATAAATGTGTCATACAGATGATACTTCGGAATTTAGAATCTTTATATTACTTAGGAAACATACAATTATTGAAAGGTTAGAGACGTATGAACATAAAAAATAAGGAATTGTTGGCAAGTCTTATGTATTGAACACTTTAAAACAGAAATTTTAAATTCTTAGTGGACGAAATCGTTCGTTCTATTTTTACGCATTTGTGTGGTATGTAGACGATATTCAGTGAATAATATTATTACTTTATCGCACCTTTGTCGATTGACCGAGTCAA